GACCTTCAGGATTAAGTACTGGTCCTAACATCTTTGAAGAGCATGAGAAACCTTACTTTTTTTTTTTTACCACATTTTCTCATAAGTTAATGCAACCTAAAGTAACTTTCTTCAGCAGAGTCATTTCCTTCCACTCATAACAATAAACACATTTAGGCTGTTCATCTACTTTATTTTATAATACATAGGTGAATATGCAAGATCTATGCTCCCCCTTCTTCCCCCACAGCCCGCCCCCAGGAAGAAAGGTATTAATGTTTTATTCTAATTAAAACAGAGAATAAAACCCATGAGATTATGACCTCCATATTTCAAGGTTGTTTCTGAGTTTTAGCTACTCTCTTAAAGGAGATAAATTTGATTTAATTTTGTTGAAATTGAGTTTTTTATTTTAAAATATGTAATACGGACACTGCAAAAAATAAAGCACATATTAACATTATTAACATTAACCCTGTTTTTTTAAAAAAATATTTCTGTGTGTAAATCTAAGAGTTTATAGGCTGATTCAGAGGGAAAAATCTCTTATGAGAGTCCTAGTTATGGTTTAACTGTGGAGACTGGGCCCTTTATAGAGCTTAGAAATGTTACCATCATGAATACATTACACTTTGAACCAAAACATCTAGTGTGTTTGTTTGACACTGGGAATGTGGCAAACAAATAACCAGAGGTGACTACCATTATGAAGGATTAAGTTGGACCCATCAGCCCTCTGAGTCTGAAAAGCAGAGGTGGAAGGGGGCTGGGGGGCCAGCAGGAAACAGAATGAAAAACAAGTGCACACAGGCTACCTAGAAGGTATCACCTGGACATTAGAATCGTATAGTTTTGTCTCAGAGCAACAGCCTTTTAAAATCTGATTACACAACTAGGATTTATTGCTAATCTGAGTTTGTTTTACATTTTTAATCCTACTCATTCTTCAAGAACAAGGTTATTTCTGTTCTATTTTTTTAAATTTTGAAAAGTTTCCTAGTCTTTAAAGAATGAACTTCTAGAATACAATAGAATTTCAAATATCAAATTTAGAATTGTAATTCAAGTTTTGTTAAATCCATAACCTATAATCTGACAGGAAAAAAATGCATAGGCCATACATGAAAATTATTACATTGAGGGAACATATTTGATTTCTTTTGTTTATACTTTATCATATTTTTCTAATATCTATATTAGAAGTATAGTCTTTTTTGAAGTTTGAAGAAACAGAAAGCATGAAGTAATATATGAAACATGCAAATATGTACCACCTTTGTTTACATTTAGAATATTTTTATTGAGAAATTGTGAGAAGAAATAGATTACAGATAAAATTAAAGTTCTGTTTCATTTCAATTTACAAATATACTTATAATCAGGAAAAAGCAAAAGCCACTAATATCCTGAGAAGTTATTGTTAATATGGTTGCATTTCATGTTTATGCCTATTTCATGGGCAGCTCCTAATGTAAGAGCTTTCTATTTAAGAAATTCACAGAATACGGAATAGTCAGTTAAATTTTAAGGATATGTATGCCTTAAGTGAAAATGAAGTAAGTTGTTATATATTTGTAATGAAGACTTCATATTGTGGAAGGGGTCCAAAGTAATAACACTCTAATAATAAAATAAATAAATATTAAAATAGGAATAGTAGATGCAAGTTGAAACTTGGAACAGAACTCCCTTTTTTCCATTGTTGTTTCTTTATCTAGGTCATGATGAATCAAAATATTTTGTTTTAAGGCTGGAAACTCCCATTACTTGATTCTTGGCACACTGGACCAAATGCAGGCACCCAGGGTAAAGATGAGAATACATTTTAGAGACAGAAGTAGGGAAAGAGTAAATAACATACTGTAATAATTTTATGAAAATACTGTACTCACCTACACTGGCAGAACAAACCCAAGCAAGACTGTATGGAATTGAAAGGCTCCCCAAAACCCAGATTAAAAAATGTTGTCAGAATAAATTTCTGAGGACTGCTGGAGTGCCAAAGCCTTCTAGGCACTTTGATGAAAGCAGTAACTTATGCAATGAAATAGTGCATTTACATATGTGTGAAAACAACATATCACTGACTCTTACAACAATAATTACACTCCCCCTGAATTTATGCATATTTATTCCACACACAATTTTCCCATTGCAACTTATATCGTTTCTTTTTCCGAAGTTAGCTATTTCAGTTTCATTTGGTGCATGTTGGTGGAGTGATTGTGATTTTTACCACTACTTCTCATATGCCCGAAGAACAATAGTTGTCTGCGCCTCCAGTAGGCACCCAGCCGACGACTGACAGTGGCGTTTGTGAAGAATCACACTGCTTTTTTTTGCCAGCATCTAAGTGAATACCGAGTAAAAGAAATCCCAACCCTAAAATAAATAAACATTATTCACCAATGCCTTCTGTTATATTTCAGTTGATATTCATAGTATAAAGACTGTTATCTCCTATTATGTTATTGATCAAAATTTTAATATTTAGCATGAGCTTTTTTGCCTTTATAAATTTAATAAGTACAACACATGCTGAAAATGATCAATTGTATATTGTTATCCTGACATATCGTGCAGTGTTAAAGAGTTTAAAGAATTGTATCTCATTTGGAATCTGAAATCTAGTTAGAGACAATGGACCCTCAGCACAGGGGTGCCCATGTGAATTTTAGTTTGTGTGAGTATTACCCATTGGGGTTTGAATACTTTTGGAATTTCTTTAGCTTTCATGTCTAAAATGATGAAAAACTTTTCAAAAGATTGCTGTACTACCCAGCTTATCATTAGTGTAGGCAATAACACAACTATATGTAAGCTTTGCTACACATGTAACTTTAGCAGTATGTGAAAGACCACAACATACTAAATGGTAGAACTGAGAGTGGCATGAAGAGGTGCCAGTTGCGAGGCTGATGGCCAGTGTTCATGCCAGGAGAGCCTTCCAGCTTCCAATTGTCCTGTGATGTTCTGGTAACAGCTCCTGCCATTGGGCAAGAGGAAGAGGTGCCTCTCCTATCGACGGGAGTGGCCAGTGTCTTCTAGGGGGGTCACCCATAGAATCCAAAACACTGTCCCTAGGGAAACCACACATTTATTCAACAAACTTTACTGAGCACATATCTTTTTCCCCAGGAATGATTTCTGGTCCTGAAGGCAGAGATAAAAGACAGTCTCTGCCAGGAGGAACTTACTATTGAAATGGGAAACGAATTGTGAAATGACAGTATAATCCTGACTCCTTATGAGAGATGCCACAGTAAAGTGTGGTGACTACAAACTAAAGAAGCACCAGTCAATGCTTCACAAAGGAAGTAACTTTACACCAGGGGTAGACAGATGCTCCTTTATTAAAAAATAAGAAGTGTTGAGAGTAGCATTGTTTATAAAGGCAAATGGAGCAAGTAGCCTTTGGAGAACATTGTGTAGTCCAAGCACCTGAAGCATAGATTGCACCTCTGTTAACTTTCTGAATCCATTTTTATAGCCAGCCTCTCCCTATGAAACTAAAAGGTCTACCTGCTATTTTTGCAGCCCATACCACCTCCCTCTTTCTATCCAGAAGGAGTGGATATATAACAGGCTCTGCCAGTCGGCTAGAGCAAGGGAAGGAGAAAAAACCCTTGAATAGAGAATCCTGCTGGTGTTAACAGCATCATTGTGGTAGCAGTTTCCAGGGGCAGTGGCTGTGAGGCCAGGGCCACACTCAGTGTCCAGCAAGAGTGGCATTGGCGGTACAAAGCACAAGACCATTGCTCTATGGTGGCAGAAGTGGTGGTCTCAACTGTCTTGATACTATGGTCTGTGTTCATCTGTGGTTTTTCTGCTTAGCCTCCATTTCTTCCTGCCTTTTCTGCATCTGGTTCTTTAACTTTCCCAAGATTTCTGTGAGCTACTCAATATGTGCTATCATACATTCCTTTCCTATTTTATCAGCCATAATTCTTGCCACTAATGACCCTTTGAGGTCAACAGAGTTCACATCTGATTTGGGAAGGCAAGGGTGGAGTGTTAAGGGTCTCATATCCCATGCTGAGTTTGTTTCACAATGAAGTCTTTAAAATAAGGAAAGGGTATGATTATATTTGTGTTTTTAAAAAATACTTTATTTATTTATTTTTAGAGAGAGGGGAAGGGAAGGAGAAGGAGAAGGAGAGAAACATCAACATGTGGTTGCCTCTCATGTGGCCCCCACTGGGGGCCTGGCCTGCAACACAGGCATGTGCCCTGATTGGGAATTGAACCAGCGACCCTTTGGTTCACAGCCCACCCTCAATCCACTGAGCCACACCAGCCAGGGTGACATTTGTGTTTTAAAAAGATAATTTTGTTTCTGTTTTGAGACTGGAAAGGAGGATAATGAAGACAAAGAGTCCAGGTAGGAGACGACTATGATGCTCAGGCAAGAGATAGTGACAGCTTTAAAATAAAGGGGCAGTGAGCGAGAGAGAAAGAAAGAGGACTTGAAATATTTCCTCAGCAGCTAAATATATTGGTTTGGGTGACGTATGGAGTAGGTTAGAGGGAGAAGTGTGGATAGTTTTGAGGTTTCTAGCTTGGATGAATAGATGGACACACGGGTATTGGGGCCATTGACTAAGGGAACTAAAGAAGTTTTAAATATGTCAAACTATTGAATTTAAGGTGCAGTTGGAAATATCCAATAGGGAGGTATATATGCAGAACAGAATTTGAGCCAAGAAGTGAGGGATGAATAACATGGATGACCTCGTTGGTGGTCAGATTAGACGAAGCACCTTTGACATTTATAGACGGGTAAACAGCTGGCTAAGGAAAGTAGCCTCACGAATATCAAGAGCAACCACTATCAATGCTACTTGAAAGATTTTTTACCCATTACCAGTTGTTTTGTCATATAACTTTGTAAAGGGTATTCAAATTTAATTTTAATTGAAAATTAAAGAGGCGTATTATGGTTTCGTTTTGTACTTCATTTTTAAAGCAGCAGGATTTCTTTAAAATTACTTATGGCATGGGCTTCCATTTGTCTCTGGTAGGTGCTTGCAGTGCCGTATGGAGGAGTTGCACACTGCCGCCTGCTACGAAGAAGCCACTGGAGCCCACAGCAAGGGAGCTGTCTCAGGCTCCTCTCAGAGCTCCCCGCCTGGGATGCCAGAGCAATGCCGGGCACCTGACACAGGTGGGCATAGGACCTTTTTCTCCCACTCTCTGACGTAGCTTTTGTGGTAGCCCAAAGCACATACGAACATTTTCATCTGCCTGTAGCCACTACCTTTTAAATAAATCCAGTCCACTGGTCCAGATGGAAAGAGATACCACACCATCCCTTCTGTCTATACCTTATTTTGCTGTCCCTTACCTTGATAAAAACCAAAGGCAAATAAGTGTAGTCAAACAGATATGTCTGTAAAGGAGTGATGTGGGTGTGTACATATGTGTGAGTGTATGTGTGTGAGGAGAATACAGGAGGACATGTCTAAACCATCAACCTCCAGTCAAAAATGCCCCGCTACACATGGAACACAGCTTATAAGTCACTGGACTGCTTTGAAAAGAACAATGGCTTTGCCACCAGAATGAGGCCAAAATCTTATGCTATTTAGTGCTGTATGGTTTGGGTTTTAAGTTACTTCATCTCCTTGAGATTTTTTTAATAAGTAAGATCGGAATAACAGTAATACTTATCTCTCAGGACTGTTAAGATACAAAATAGTGCTGACAATGTACTTGGCACTGGTGCTTGGCAAGTAATTAGGGAATGGGTCTAATCTATTTTCCTAGATATTTAAAATGTATATACTTAGCATATGTCCTTTGAAGTGGGCATCCACTTTGTTCTCTTTGTGTTTTTCATTCAAACTTGACTTCTCCTGTATGTGTGCACATATGCATTACAGAAGAGATATGTATTATACTTATACATTGATGAGAGAGAGATGTTGAATATGTGAAATCATTTAATATGCTTGGGGAACTATATCTTCTATTTATTATGGAGTTAAAGTATTTTTAAAAACTGTGTGTGCAAGATTCCACTTCAAAATGACTTCAGCTTTGTAAATATTTTTAAGATACTGCTAACTAACAATCTGTGACCAAGTGTGATTTATGGAAATATTGTGCAAACACGTTTGTGCCTTTTGCTTCCAAACACCTAGTAGGATTGGAACAAATGTGTGCTCTAAAAGCATTTCTCAGCAAAACAAGCTTTTGGAATGAAAACAAACACAGGGCTGTGGGACAGGCAAAATAACGCAGATGCTGACCATTTTCATTTTGGTAAAATAGTATTTTGTTAATTGCTGTGTTCTTTTTTATACTGTATGCTCTTCCTTCGTCCCCTTTTATATCAGATTCAGAAAGTTCCTCAAAGAAATTTCCTACTTTTTGCTAATCTATTCATCTTTTCCCCTCTTAAGCAAGACTTTACACGGAATAACTATATAGTAATAGACACTTCAGTTTTGCAGATTATAGCTTAACTTTTCTATCATGTTGTTGGCAAAGTTTTAGATCAAAAAAATATCTCAGAGTGAGAGAGAAAGTAAAATGTTATTGTTGATACCAACAAAAAGTTTTGTGTGTTTCTCATATTTCTCATTTAAAAAATATAATCACTAGAAATGAGAACATCTCTATTCAAGCTGTTCATACATTCGTTCTTTCATTCATTTACCCAACGAGTATTTTATGAGCACCAGTGATTGACAGGCCCTGGAGAAGAGCTGTGACTAGAGTATAGAGCTGGTCCTTGCCTTGAACAGAGCTTAAAACCAGAATTGGAAAAATTTTGGCAAAAATCACCAAGAACCCAGAATCTCCACCAGTCATTTCCATGACCCAGTATGGCAAAGTCCAGGGAACAACATACTTCATTGTTCTCATACACAGACTGTCTTACTAATCACTCTCCTATCTGCCTCTTAAGTCAGTTTTATTAATCTGACTTATCATTTGGGACTTAGCTCTGATAATATGAAACAGCTTGCCTGGCAAACCTGATTATTGAACTCAGCTATTTATAATTATGTTATATATAATGGTCTGTTATATTTAAGATAAACTAGTTATTAAAATTTCCACGGTGCATGTAAATGCTTTCTGATAACAGTGTTCTTTCTTCGTGTTATCTTGAAGAGTCTCTATCTTTTTTTATTGCTTACTTTTGTAAGGAGGGATTATCACTGTGAACATGACAAAGGCAGCAGTTTGAACAAAGTTCTTAATTCACCACTGTTTGTTTGCTTTTAATTCAGTATGAAACTGTTAACCTTTACAAATAGACAACTAGGAATATGGCTAAATATTTATTTTCATAATCTCTAGTTTCACATATTTGTAAGTTCAGACCTGAAATCCTATATCTCCCCGACTCTCTAGCAGAGTTAATGGTACAAATTCCTTTTTTGAACTTTTTCCCCTGACTTAGTCCTCTTAATTTTTTATGGCTCTAAAAAATAAAACATGAAAAGGCAAAGCCAGATATATTTTATCTTTCATGTATGACAGATGTTCCCTCACCCATGTTTCATGGACATAATCCATCTTTAGAAAACATAGAGATGGATGTTTCTGCCTGCAAAGCTTCATGAAAAGAAGCCTGCTTGTCTCGATGAACAAATCCTTCACAATGCATCTTAGGGCCACACACTATTCAGTTTTCTGGTTGGGATTCTACGTTGAGTGGCAAAAGGATTGGTGTGAGACAAAAACTTAGAAAGTGGCTCTAAGTATGTTAATGGTGATAGTAGCCATTCAGATGGAATATATTCTATGGGTATGATTTTAAAGTTACTTTCACTATTGTTTTTTTTATATGTTAGATGCACAAAGGGAAGGGCCAAGCATGACCTAAGGGTGGTTTCATTTTTAAGACAGTCATGGAAGCTTAGGTGTTCATATGGATATTTTGAATGAACAAATGAGAAAAAACAAGCTTATTAAATTCAGACATAAAACAAACCGGGAGCTCTAGCCACAAAACTGCTATCAGATACAAACTTGCTTTAATCGTCACAGAAGGATAAAGATACGCTCTCTTTTGGTTAAGCCTGATCCTATCTCCTCATAAAATGCTGGCAGATAGAGCAGCTTTGCCTTTCAGATTTTCACCCAGTTATTTTTAGTTCTTCTGAAGCCTGGGAAATAAGAAATATAACCTCCTTGAAAAATCCGAGCGAGCCAACCCTGGCAGGGCCCTCTGAATCTGATTAGATAAAACAACAAAGCGGGTCTGTGGGGCAGAGGCAGGAAGAGCCAAGGTGGGTGGCGGTCTCTGCTCCACTCAGGGGAAATGTAGCCTCAAAGAATTCAAAAGTGGGTGAAAAAAATAACATAAGCAACAGACAACTTTCCCACATCTCAGGTCACTCTCTAAATACAGCTAGAAAAATTTGTCCCACACTAAACTTTAAAAAAATTTTTTTGAAGTACAATAAACAGTATGTGAATGTATGTTTATCCTCAGCACCACACTGAGGGGGATATTTGCTCACTAGTAAGGTCTGTGCTCTATATCATCAAGTTTTCTTCCCTCTGATTAGCTTAGAGGCTAAATTGGGACCCAGTTTAAGTTATAAAAGTAGAAATTCATTTTAACGTTCCCAATATAATATTGGAACAACTTAATGAAGCCTTTCCCCTCAGTTATTAAAATGGGAGAGAATCATGAAAATAAGGGTAGGTGGGAATTCTCCACCCCACCCCCACCGTGTTCTGCCTTGTAATTCCTGGCTTCAGCCTGGCGAAAGGAGGCAGAGTCCAACCAGGGAGGTGTGGGTGGTTGGTGTGCTGACAGTTGTCATCAGTAGCTTTGACAGACCTACTGAATAAGCAGCGTTGTTCGTGCTGTCCCCAGCATCCCCACTTTGTAAAAGAAAACAAACAAGAAAGAGCCGGGTAGTGAAATACAAGATAGTGGCCATCTGGCATCTTCTGGGCTCCGGAAGTGGCTGAAGTGCCCTGTGTTTCAGTCTTGCTGTTGAAAATGGGGCGATTGTCTTACATGTCACATTCATTTGATCATTTGAAAACTACTGCAAGTCTTCGCCCATTTTCTCCTATATTCCTGATGTCCATGGTTAAAACTGTGGAGAAGCTGAAAAATGTCAAATTATAGTAAGGCCTTTAAGTTATTTCTTGGGTACAAATAAAGTCAACCCTGCTATTCTTCCTTCCTTTTTCTCTCTGAGTTTCTCAACTTCTGTCTTCATGTATCAGTGCCCTGGTTCTTTAACTCATATGAGCAGATGAGACACCACATATGAGGCACCACAGCAGATGTGGGAGAGGGTTTTAATGGGAGAACTGGGGCACGCTTGGGCCAGGGAATCCCCCAGTCTGGGCAGAGGCTGGGAGGCAGTAGGGGCATGTAGGAAAATGAGCTAACAGGATGGTGGGTCAGCCAGGATTCCAGAAGGGACCATGACTGCACCAGATTCCACTGTTAGCCAGGCCTCTGAGCTATTCCCTGTAGAAACACAGGTTTTTCGATATGGTCCCAGTTCCATGACAGTTGTAGATGCTACGGAGAATCTACAGGCAAATGAACAATTATTCACCTTCACTGCTGCAAATCTGAAAACACCACTGCCAGTGTAGAGCTAGAGATGCTCCTGGCTTCCCTGCCACGGCAACATCGAGCCCCTGCTCAGAGATCACCCACTGGTCTGTTTGGTCTGAGCCTGTTCGGCAGCCTGCCTCTGTCCTGTGCCTCTGTGTGCAATGCCGCTGGGAGTGGGACCTGGAACGTGCTTCTCAGGGTCCCTGTGGCTCAGGGTTCCTCGGTGTCAGGCATGGAAATCTGATAACCAAGGCGGACAGCCTCCTCCACCTTTCTGCTCTTTGGATGGCCAATACTGCTAGACAAAGGCGTGGGGAGACTTTGTGGTATTAAAATGTCGCACAGCTTTTTATATCATATGCTCATTTTCATCCAAAGAAAACAACTTGACAAAGTGCATCTGTCTTCTGAAATAGATAATGTTAGCTCCTCACTTGCACTTCCATTAGGTCTGACTGTGATCACCTAGACAGAAGTGTTTTGGCTACAGTTGAGAACTTCTTTATTTGAAGTTTTATGTGTTGCTCACAAGATAGACTACTTGTACTAAAAAGTCCTGAATTCCTCATTTACAATATACATTCAAAATAGAAGTCATGGAGCTCAGAATCTAATTG